CTAGGTTAGCCTATCATTGTTCAGTAGCCATGGGGTGGGTGTGGGAACGGGAAATGACTGTGATGTGTCTATACTCAGTACCTCTGCTGATATTCCATGCCCAATCTACGTAATGCATTGTGCACTGGTCTATGGAATCAAAAGTAGCCATATGCTAGGCTCTATACAGCAACAGAAGATTTTTGCCAACAATAGAGATGACACAGGCGTGCCTTAGAATGAATCAGTCTTTTTTTGCACATCGTGTGTTGATAGATAAATGTAATATCTTAGAATTTTACACCATTTCTTCAGTCAGTATGGCATCAAAGAGACGAAAATGCCTCACATTAGAAACTAAGCTACATTTTATAAAAAAATTGAAAATAAACAAAATTGAAAAAGTTGCTATAACGAACGATTTTAGGTCAGGCCCGGCGACCTCGTTGAATCCGAGTTCCACTACAATGGTGCTCAATTGAAAGATGAGAAAAAGAGCTCAATATAAACCACAACGATCTTACCTAACGGGACTCCAGTCTCATCCAGAGGCAAGTAGCTGTCTGAATACATGGTAATGACATGATCATCTAGATGTCCAGCTCCCTGGGAAAATTGACAAAGACAACAATTCAAACTTTGTTTGAGTTAAGAAAAGCAACATTTAGTGAAGGGGAAAAGGTACAACATGATACAACAGAGGGAAAGAAAAGAAGTAGGACCTGCCAGTGGCACCCTCCAACCTCTTGTGAATTCAAATTTCACTCAAAACACTAACACTTACTTATATCATGATGTAGAAACCAGAATAAGAGTTGACATCAAGGTAAAAAATTGACATTAGCTACCGAAACAAAGAACAAAAACGCCTTTAACATAATTTTGCTCACATATTATGAGAAAGAACAAGGTACTGATCATATTGTGCTTGAGATTTCAACAAACTGATATCTATAGGCCTACTTACATGACCAGCCAGATTGAAATAGGTATGGTTCGTGAGGTTGAGAATCGTGGGCTTTGTGGTGGTGGCCTTGTACTCCAATTTCAAACTGTTGTCCTCACAGAGGCTGTACGTCACTTCCACAGACAGATCACCAGGAAAGTGCTCTTCACCATCAACACTCAAGTAGCTCACAACCAGTTTGTCTCCCTTGATCTCACCCTTCCACATTCTCTAGGGAATAGTAATCAAAATCAACATTTTGAACGACTCATTGTCACCTCCGGATGAGTTACGACAGTAAAAATCAAGTCCTCTCCAGCTTATTTTAATTTACTAACTGCATTCTTGATCCAGGAACTATCTGAGCATGAGCCCTAAGGTCAGACACTTTATCTTTGTTCTCATTTAAAACTTCATAGCTACATCATGCAGTGTGTTTTAATTTATAAGGAAGAGGGCTGTTACTTGTTGGTCATTGGATAGATTATGATTGTTTATGTCATCTCAACCCTGACACAACACAGAGTCATTCCATCCCTCTCTTCAGATTTCATGAAAAAGTTCCTGATTTGGTATCGCCATCAGTTATAAAAAGAGGGCTCTCATGGCCTTGAGGTTAAGGTGTTTGCTCATTCAAAGGTCCCGGGTTTGAATCCGGGTAGCGACCGAAAAATTTTCTTCTCTAAAATGTCTCCTTTCACCTTCTTTCCTTCTCTCTTGCAATATTCTGACGTCTGCTTTCGTCTCAACTTTCTTCCCCCACCCCTTCATCTCTTTTTCCCCCTCCACTGGGTTCCTGACTCTTTCTGCAGCCTTTCTACTGCTACTCCTTGGTTCCTTACTGCTGTTTATCAGCCACACCTCGGATCTTCTGGTAGGAAAGATCTACACCTAGCCTTCTTGGACAAGGGTGAAAAATCTCGGAGGTCCCATGTGCAAGTTGCGCACGTTAAAGATCCTTTGGTGGTCCAAAATCGATAAGAGTAGGCTTCAGCCGCCACCCGGGCAAAATTCAAAATTTCCTACTAATTGAAAAAGTTTGGTGAGTTTGTGCTCATATGACCTCATGCAGTTGCGAGTGCCGTAAAACACTTACCCCCCTCCCCCCTCCCAAAAAGGAATAAAAATGAATAGAACAATGGAAGGCATTGTTTACAGCTAAAAATGACACCTATGATAACTAAAAGTATGTTATTCCACGATAACAAAAGTGTTCATTTCAAGATGGTTTACTCCTCTATCTGAGAAACTAAATCATAAATCCTCAAAAAAAAAAAAAAAAAAAAAAAAGCAGGTGATGACAACTATACATACATAGCAAGTGTGAGGCAGTCGAGAAGAAGTAGAAAAACAAGAAGTCAGTGACACAACCTACTGGTGGGTGGTCACCCACGGCGTTTCCATAACACTTTGCTATCATATTTTGGGGAAAATCCAAAGAAACTGGGTGGTAAACATCGCCAATCGGCGAGATGAGGAAGCAAAGTGTTAAACAAGAAATATTAACCCCAGTTCATAAACAAGGCCCTTCAGACCAGTGAACAGCAATGACATGTCAATGTACAAATTTATAATGCTAAGGAGCCTTTTCTTTTTTTTTTCTCATGTCCTTGACGCTGAACATCAATAGAAATCTGCTGAAAAGATGTCAGAAGGGTTGTTAGAAACCACACTTCAGCCTGACATGTGGATAATCAAAAAGAGTTATATTCTACCATTACATTAGTTGTATCTTATATGTGTCTCCATTCCAAGAGAGCCATACCTTTTTTTCTTTATTTCTATATATACACACATATATTTAATATATATATATATGTATGAGTGTGTGTGTGTGAGTGTGTGTGTGTGTGTGTGTGTGTGTGTGTGTGTGTGTGTGTGTGTGTGTGTGTGTGTGTGTGTGTGTGTGTGTGTGTGTGTGTGTGTGTGTGTGTGTGTGTGTGTGTGTGTGTGTGTGTGTGTGTGTGTGTGTGTGTGTGTGGTAAACGAACCTGATCAAACCCAGCTTTGCCTCCGTGATTGGTGTTGGGACCATTGTTCACAAAAAGTTTGTGGGTTTTTCCATCTAACGTGAACTCGGCACCAGCAATGCGATTGGCCACGCGCCCGCATAAACCCCCAAAGAAAAGCGGATGGGCCTCATAATCTGAAAAGCAAATGACAGCAATAAAAGTCAAATAATTCTATTTTGCTATGCAATCAACATCCACTATAACATCACAAAAAGCTTTTTAGGAATATCTCATGACATATACATCAAAACTGAGAGCCACATTCGGTTAAAGTAATATTTGGGTACTTTATAGCTCATAATAAACCACTTGTGAATAATCACATCTGAAATACTAAATATGGCCATTGGTTTTTCAAAGCAGGTAGGCATCAAATAGTATTAAACAAAAGAAAAGATTTACAGTCTAGCTGATTGAAACAAAGGTATTTACAATAAAAATATCGACCTAAGAATACCGCAAGAATTAAAAACTTTTGTACTGGTATTCAAATCGCAAACACAGAAATGGGCATGTCTTCAAAGATCCATGGTAAAATGTTGCCATCATTATAGCCTCTTGCCATTGATTATTTTAAAACATCTCAGCTAACCCTGAAACACAATTAAAAATAATAGTCTGTAGACAAGCACAGCTAAAGTGAGGAAAAACTGGGGACACCTTGACCAAAGGAGCAAGAACAAGAACAAGAGGGAGAAAACTCAAATACATGTATGGAAAAAAAAAGGAAAATAGAGAACTCGTAAAGGTTTAGTGTCTGCTATTTCTATATCTATAAAACACATTTCTATTTACTGAACAAACATCCCTTTGGTAAGCCCATGAGGTCACAGACCAACTAGATCCGTGTGGTACAAGAGCCTGTGTACTGAGGAGGTGATAACATATATTTATACACAGTGAATCTTAGATTATTATAACAAAGTCATCAAGCCAGACCTTTTTAATTTTGTTAATTTGAGTGAGCAACAAGTAGCATTGAGGACCTTTGTTTTCACAGACCAGTGTGCAATCCATTATAATGTAGAACAGTTCTATGTCTAGGTTAGCCTATCATTGTTCAGTAGCCATGGGGTGGGTGTGGGAACGGGAAATGACTGTGATGTGTCTATACTCAGTACCTCTGCTGATATTCCATGCCCAGAGCTCTTCAAGTGTCTACACCCCTCCCCCCCCCCCCCAAAAAAAAAAGACAAACACAGTAACAGTAACACGTGTGTGGTTGCTCATCCAACCTCTCTCAACCCCGGCACACCCTTGGCTTACGACCCACCAGTCGGTGAGAAAGAAAGCTTTTTTGATTTGTCAAATAAGAAGGCTAAGTGTGTAATGACCCACAGTACAGGTGTGATCAATAGTCCCTTGGAAAAAAGTAGACAGCTTCATTGTGGGAGAAAAATGTATGAAGTCACATCAGCAGGGGTTGTTCGCCTAGCAAGAGGCTTCACTGATCCGAGTTTGCTCATTTATGTGTAAATTGAATACAAGTTATGTTGATTTTAATGAGTTTTTAAAAAGAGGGGAATATCCATCTTCCTTCACTGAATCCGAGTTTTTGTTGAATCGGAGCTTCACTGTGCATATATATATATATTCACTTAATCCAGGTTTTTACCTTTAATATTGTCAAACCCCAGGCTGACATCACCCATCTTTCCATTCTTATCTGGCACATTGATGTCAGCAACTCTTCCTCCATAATCCAAAATTTTGACACTAGCGCCTTTCGAGTTTGTCAATGTAAATCTGAAAACATGATGCAACAATATGGGAAACTTTAAAAGTTTTTTAAAATGTATTCAAATTACTTTAAAATTCACAAATTAAATGAATGTGTATCTTCAAAGGACAAATGCCATTTTATTAGTAATACCAAGGCTGATAGCAAAACATTTTACAACATGATGCGCAAAGTGCACATCTATCACGTCTCCCTCTTTGCAAAGCAAAGGTTCAGTAATTCACACCAGTGAACAATATTAATGCTATTTAACAGACAATTAACTGTTTAGGATTTATGCATAAAATGATTCAAAATCATTGATGGTATCTTAGGAACGAAGCCAGAAAAATGTGACATGCTCAGAAAGAAGTGCACTTTATTCAAAACATTTCGGAACCTAACATTAAGAAATCTTGCAATTTGAATTCACTCTTCTGTCTCATTTCTCAAAGGTCAGACCCGAATGCTGTAAAAGATGTGAAGTCAAATACAAAGAATTCCTGACAAGCTATAAAAAAAATTAGGTTCTCATTTAAGGAACAGTAGCGCAATCTTTAAAAAGCTTGGATGGTAGAAAAGAAGACAGATCTACTAGTGGCATCATTCTGTGAAATGATAAGAAACTGAAAATAAATCTCTGTTCACAGTGGTGAGATTAAATTGGGCAAGAGGTTCATGAAGGTCTCTGAGACACAACGTTGGGCCCTTGACTTGATTCAACATTATTCTGGTTGCAAGCCCGAGAGCCCGCCGTCACAATGGTGTGTGTAAGTTTTACCTGTGCACACAGCAGTGGCATTCAATAATATAACTCTGGCTTTATCTAGAAATCTTGTAATAGTGACGAATATTACAAAGCCAAACAAATTCTCTATCGCAATACAATGCAGTAATGCCCCTTAAAAAAAAAAAATTATTATAATTTTCTGAACGACTTGAATTCATGGATTTCTGTAAAAATCGCGAATTCAAGTAGCATACACAAAAAAAGACTGAATGCATAAAAAACAATTTGGAATTGAATCAAAAGCAACAGTATGAGTATTCCCCATACTCAGTTTCTGCCTTGCGTGCAGAAGTGAGTTGCCATAGAGGTCACAGAGAAGGGTTGCAGCTATCTTTCTGTTGTCATACACAGGAACCCGAAACAGTGGGCTGTAATCATCATGATATGCAAGGGCATTATTCATATTAGCCTACTTTTTAAATCTAATCAACAAATGTTAAGTAAGCAGAAAAATGAATCACAAATTAAGAATAGCCTAATATATAATAGGCCTCTGCTGCTCTCTTTTACTCACATGCCATCTTATTGCACAGCTTAATCAGGTCAGATAGTAGAGGGACTTTTCATCCTGAGATCAGTCATTCATTTATTAACTCTTTGAAATTAGAAATGTAGTGGACACACATCATTCATGTCTGTTCCACCAGCAGCAGACCAAAGTCAAAGGCAATGTAGCAGCCAATTTCGAACCATCATACACACATTAGAAACAAAAACATGTGTATCAGAGAGGGTTTACAGTAATAGAGAGGTGACACTAGTGGCGGCGCTCCATAACAACAGTGCATTGTTTCGCGTATCGCCCGGCGCGGGGTGCGAAAACACTTAAGCGCGGTGATCGCAGCCACGGCGATGCTCAGGGATGCTGTCACGTCATGAGAAAGTGTAGTACCGTCTGTAGTTAGTTCACTAGGTTACTAGGCCTTTAAAGAAAGGAGGCCTGTGAATTCTATCGCATATTTTAGGCAACTCCCCTGCCTCCCTCGGCCATGTAAGACATGTTTTTGGCTTAAGTTAACATACATTCTAATAAACAAATAGACACAGATACATTTTTTTCGTCTCTATAGATCTGAAAAAAAATCCCCATGATTAAAGGAATAATCGGTTTAATTTTCAGCAAATCTACTCGTTCTCCAGTGTCCCTCTGTCATCTCTCTCCCTCTCTGTCTGTGTGTCTGTCTGTCTTTTTTTTTCTCTCCTTGTCTCTTTTTCTCTCTCCCCCTCTCTCCCTCTGTCTACCTCTGTCTACCTGTCAGTCTGTCTGTCTGTCTGTCTCTTTCTTTCTTTTCCTTTTTCACCCCCTCTCGCCCTGTCTATCAGCGTGTCTGTCTGACTGTCTGTCTGTCTGTCTCTCTCTCTTCTTCTCCCCCTTCTCTCGCTCCGCCTATTTGTCTGTCTGTCTGACTATCTCTGTCTCTCTCTCTCTCTCAGTCTGTCTGTCTCTCTCCCTCTCTCTCTCTCTGTCTATCTTTCTCCCCTCTATAGCTCTGTTCATTTGTCTGTCTGTCAATCTGTTTCTCTGTCTCAGTTTCTATCTGTCTGTCTGTCTGTCTCTGTCTCTCTCTTTCTCTCTGTCTCTCTCTTTCTCTCTCTCTCTCTCTCACACACACACACGCACACACACATATATATATTGGTATATATATATATATATATATTACATTCTCACACTTTCAGATCATGGAAAAGGACATGAAGCAATAATGATAGATCTACCAATTAAAGAGTTTATACCTTTCACCTTCCATCTCCCATCCTATCCCCCACCCCAAAAAAAAAGCGGTAATCGGACAAAGAAAATTCCAGAACCGATCGACAGCACTTTGTATTTAGAACACTTTTAGACATATCTTTCACTAGTAGAATGCAGGCTCAAAAGTTGAAGTGTGTTGAGTTTGTGCTTGGAGTGTCAGTCTGGTAGGACCAAAATAATATTGTCATTATTTTGATCTATATTTTTCTATTCATCAAAAAAATAATATTCGTCATCCTTTGGAAATCGAAAGAAACTCAGATTTTAATTTAAATAGGTGCAGTTTATAGCAGAACACCATTGACATTTCGTGCTAACCGAGCCGTGCTTGTTTGCGATCAACGTAAATGCCTTGAACAATGGACGCAGTTTGTTTTGTTTACCGCGCGTTTCTCCACGATCAGCTGGTGACTCAGATACGAGCATCCGGGCGAAGTGCCGTCTCTCTAGTATTACTGTAAACTCTCTGATGTGTATACATGTCATTGCAAATAATGAAAACAGAATTGAAAAATCAGTATGAATAAGGAAGTTATGCCTCTTTTTTTGTGTAAACAACTCCAAAACAGTGCATCCTCAACAAAGAGTTAAATTATCATGACTTTATTATTCATCTGTGACGTGTCCTGTTAACCCTTTAACAAGAAAGTCTCCCCTCGGGCATCTAATCTATCTATTGTTCTTGTTTTTGAGTGCACTAAGCCTATCTGCCATAGCCCTTATGATCTTATCCAGTCTAGCCTCACAATCGCCGGCCAAACTGTGACAAGAGGGTCAGCAACGAGGCGTACTCCTTCACCTCGAAGTCAAGGTGACAAGACTACACGGTACGGCCCATGCAATGATGCATAGTGAACCGGCGCGGTGCGCAAGTGATGGCGACAAGGCAGCTATTATTGTCAAGAGGCGATCTGAGTGTTGATCATCTAGAAAGTCTAGATCTAGATCTAGATTCCAAGTTAAGTTCCCTTTCAAAGTCGAGAGAGTAGCAGGCAATGCGAAATTGTTTTGGTACGTACCTAGAATCTTGATCTACCGCTACACGAAGAGTATCACATCAGTACTCAGTACATGACAACGCAAGTCTGTAACGGTTTCACACTGAATCATACCTTGTTACTTCCTGCCCATCTTCCGTCTGACCAAAAGGTTCACTTGTTATTTTCGTTGACATGGTAATACAGGTTTTATAGTTCGTGGTGGCAGTGTGTCTTCTACCGACAACCGCGACTGACCGGCGTAAGGTGATGAAATGAAAGTGGTAACGCAAGCAAAACAAACCGGTGTAACATCTTATTTTGCCTCCCAAAATAATATACCTTCACCTATTCTTGAACAAGTCGACACAAGTCATGTAGTCTGCTCATTTCATTATTATATGCATATGGGTATTGTGCAGTTTCCTAGGCAAACACCTGTATCTCCGCTTCTTCCACGATTTATCATTACAGTATTTCGTCTTTCTTTTAGTGAGAAAAAGCGCGTTACAAGCATGCAGGAACTGCAGTATAGTATCCAAGTAAAGAAATACCCGTAGGCTAACTTCGACTACACAAGGCTTACTTTTCTCTTGAGCGTCAGTTGGTGTAAAATTGTTCTTACAACCCTCTATTTTTAGCAGGTTTCCGACTTATTTAGTGTTTTCACTTCACGAACAGTCTGCTATGTAATGACTTAACGACCCATTATTATTCATGATTAAATAAACAGTGGCCTGTAATTTGTAACTATCATGATTATTGGGAATTAAAATACTTTACTTTTACCAAATGAAACGTAAGGGGCAAAACGTATCTCAAATGCAAGAGTATCTTTTTTGGGGGTAAATGTTTTACGGCGATTGCAAGCTGCATACGGCCACATTGAGCGCGCGGGACACACTAAACATTGTCAGCTATTTTGTAGAAAGAAACACCTTTTTTCCTTGAAGTATATATGTCAACCTATATAAAGCCAGGCTATGGAAACAGCTATAAAAAGAAAGAAATCGACTCTCTAAGAAAACTCTGTAATTGCAGAAACGAGAAGAGAAAAGAAGAAAGAAAGAAAGAAAGAAGAAAGAAAGAAAGAAAAAAGAGAGAGAAAGCAAGCAAGAAAAAAGATATATAGAAAAAAGGAGAAAAAGAAGTAATAATTCATTTTGATAGGTCATACATCATTTATTAGTTTAAAGATAAAACACCGTAAAAAAAAGAAAAACAAAACAATACAGCAGTTGATACTTAGACTTCTTTTGTTTTCAATTAGACAAAAACAATATCATATCCTAATTGTAAAAATTAACAGATTCCTTGACAGTTGCGTAAAACATCTCTTTGATTCCGATCTTCTCAATGAAGAGGGATGGTTGGGAAACGTTCCAATTCACGGAAGACACAGCCTCTGAAAAAAAGGGGGTTGGGGGGGG